ATACGGAGGAGGCCTAATCTATGTGATCTTATTGGTCGCAGGGATGTAATTGGAATTATCCTATTCCAAACAAGGGCAAAGGGTTCTACTTGCTTAGACTACTGTAAAGTTCAGATATTTAAAGGAAGAATTTCTTTTAAACTATGAGCTGATAAACTCTGCCCTAAAATCTGAGGATATGTATGGCATTTCAGCCAAGAATCTATTGTTCAGAGTTAAATATCTCAAGATTACAAATCAACAGTCACATATCTTTGAAGATGGTCAAAAATATGAACAGGAACAATAGGATTAGAAATCAGTTATCAGATAAACAATGAATAACAGGCATAATACATTAGCTGTACCCCACTTTCCAAATTTAGAGGGTTTTGGAATCAAACTGATGGGTAGCACATAGATGTTGCTCTACCAATACTGAGAATAAAGCGTGGGGAGGATCTGTTTCAGCATATACTCATTTATCACTTCCTCTAGATTTAGTATGATTTTTTCTTGGATTCCACAGATTCAAGTGAGTTGAATCTAATGTAACCTCACATAAAGTGATACATACCATTTTATTGTGCTCCTAAGATTAGGTTGGCTGACTGTGCTGTCATCTATAAATATAGTTGAACATGAACTATACTTTTTTGTAAGCTGCCCCGGGGAAACCTATGTGGAAAGAAATATATATAAGTTTATAAAAATGTTTGAAAACCATGATTTCTGGGTTTAATCAGTATTACGCATATTAGACTCACATGGACAATGTTGTTAAATAAATCAAAAGATATTAAGGAGGACATTTAAATAGCTGCCTAAGAATCAATAAACTAGAAAATAGAATAGAAATCAGCATCAGTAATATTTTCAGCAATGGCCAGTCACTGTATAAACACCAATGGACACCACTATTTTGCTTTTCTTGGTACCTGTTTTTCTTTTAAAGATTAACTGGCAAAGATAAAGATAAAGAAGAGACAGGAGGCTTTCCAAGTAATAAAACACAGGGCAGAAATTTGTTTGATCACTATGTTGAACATATCACCACTTATTGAAATATCAGAAACAAATTCAATGAGGTTTTAGAAAGAAACCACATTGGAGTGAATCGCTCTTCCACTCCCAACTCAGTTCAAAATCCATTTGTTGCTATTTTTAAAAAGGTTAAAACTTGATGTGACTATGTAATGAACTTTTACTACATCTTTACATCAAAGCAAGAGAAAAAAAATGCAGTTAATGCAGCAAGAATAGGTCAAAAGTTGATATTCCAATCTAGGAAAGTAGTTTCAGAATTTAAATTTGCGCTCTACATGGGGCTGCCCCTGAAGAGTGTTCGAAGACTACAGTTGGTCCAAAACGCAGCCGCGCGAGCAACACTGGGTGTACCTAGATACACCCATGTTACACCCATCCTCCGCGAGCTGCACTGGCTCCCTATTGGTCTCCGAACGCGCTTCAAGGTGCTAGTTGTTACTTTTAAAGCCCTACATGGTTTAGGACCTGGCTACCTGAGAGACCGCCTCCTGCCACATACCTCCCAACGACCAACAAGACCTCACAGGTTGGGCCTCCTCGGGTGCCGTCGACAGGACAATGTTGGCTGGCGTCTCCTCGGGGGAGAGCCTTCTCTGTAGCCGCGCCAGCCCTATGGAATGATCTACCCGTAGAGATCCGGACCCTTACCACTCTCCCGGCCTTCCGCAAAGCCACCAAGACCTGGCTGTTCCGGCAGGCGTAGGGCTGTTGATCAATGTCCAGCCCCACTTAGACAGAATGGATGGTGTGTAATTTTAACAACTGTTATTTTACCTTTAATTTTTTAAATGCTTTTTATCTTGTCTGTAAGCCGCCCAAAGTCCCAAGGGAGTGGGCGGCATACAAATTTTATTAAATTTCAAAATTTCAAAATTAAAGGCTATAGTAAACTGTGTGGAATCAAAGACTCATCTGTAAAAGGGAATGATACGTACTAACAGCAGTGAGATGACTGTAACCTTGCAGATGCTTCCCCTACCTTCAATAACCCTTTTACATTCACAGAACAAGGTAGATTCTCCAAATCCCTGGGTTTCAGAAACAAAAATCACACTCCTCCTAGTGACAAACTCTGATCTACCTGCTCAGACTAAGATCCAACTAATCCAAAATTCTTTGTTGGATTTCTTAGCAATTTGGAAGCCTCGGGCGAGCTATTTGATATATCACTAGTCTGCTGCCTATCTATGTTTGAGAACTCTAGGTGTTCTATTCTACTCCGGCAGCAAATTATCTCTGAAACAAATTGGAAGCAGAAGTACTGTACAGAAATTTTATTTTATCAGTTTTAGTAGACAGCACTGATACACGGAAGGCCCATGGCAAGGGATACAGTGCCAGTAATTCCATAAATTACACAGATGTCCTTATTACTATTAAAGAATGTATGAATGTGTCCCAGCCTTTTTCAGAGGGGGGGTTGCCTTTAAATCAGTCTTTCCTCATAATGACTGACGTCCATTCAGTTGTTTATAGCAATATTTTTCCGAAGTAGTTTGCCACTGCAGTCTTCCTAGGACTCTGAGTGTGACTAGATTTATTAAAACTGAAGCACCAATTAAGTCAAAATAATATGCAGCAGCCCGTTGTTCTTAACTGGGTTTATTCTGCTAAACAGGAGTTTTTAAAGTATATATATCATATTTTCATTAATTATTCAAGCCAAACATGCACAACTTATAGTGCGCGAATTCTTTGCTAGAAAGCTTGGATATAAGCTTGTGGGTCTTTTGTAAAACTATTGGCAGGTTTTTCAGCATTTGTTCTACTTCCCTTCTTTTTGCAAAGAATATCATCCAACACCCACCCATTGCCCTATGTTACTTAACTTTCTCCTGCTGCTCTGAAATAAAATCTATGGTTTTTTTCCCCCTAGCAATTAATAGGAATAAGAGGAGTGGTAATGGAACGATTCTTCTTCTGTAGTTTTAAAATTGTGAGCAATTGATTGCATCTTCAAAGGTATCATATAACTATCACAAAAGGAAGGGAGAAAGACAAACTCTAGTCTGAAGTCTGGTTGTATTACTTGAAAACCTCTTCTACTCCATTCACCAGAATTTCTTTTAAAAAAGCAGATTCTATAGAGAAACCAGAACCACGAACTATTCTTTTTATTTGTTTCTTTCACAGCTATTACATGTACTTACATGGTTGATGTGGTTGCTCTTTCTCTTCTCTCTCACTGAAAAAGGAGAAACAAGTTCAGTCTATCAATACATTGTTTTTTTTTTTAATTCTACTTTAAAATTCAGCACTTGTTTGGAGTTTTTCCTTTCTACACATTCAACCTTGACAATATTTTGGGATTATCTGAAAATAATTTAGAATCATAAAAAACATAGTGAGCCAGCTTGTTGGGTTTTTTTAAAACTTTTTTTTTAACCTAGGTATTAAAAGCACATTTCATGGAATACATACCACTCAGTTCCACAGAAGCAACTCCTTTTTTTGCTTGTTTCTTAGATCAGGAGAAATAGCAATAATTCATCTTGTGAATTAGAGAATTTCCCGATTCAACCATTTATTTTACAATGGTAACATATAAAGAAAGCCAATAAACAAATAAATAATAAACTGCAGTGTTTCTATAAAAAGACTCAGTGTTGTAAAAGAGTTATGAATACTGGTTTAGAAAGGTGGAAACATGACATTACATGAGTATCAAGGCTGAATGTGAATATAAAATTATCTCAGTAAGCATGTTAATTTGACATATAACTCAAGCTAGACTGAATTTTTTTTCCTACTAGGAGGAAATGAGCTGACCCAAGTAAAGTCTTCTGGAGGCAGTGAATCATATTGCTAGGAATGTTGCAAATGATGCTTGATGGAAAAAGTCACTTCAGTCACTGGTCGTAAGATAACCTCCTTCTATTCTCAAATATGGCACCCAGCCGTTCTTAGTTATTCTACTGAATGGCGAATATTGAGAATGAATTAAGAGGATTAAAAAGCAACAGCCACAGACAAACAACTATGAGAAATACAGGGAAGAGCAGGCAAAAATGTAGAAGCAAACAGTGCTTTGACACAAATGGAAAGGAATTAAAATACCCACTCCATCTCCTCCCATCCTCTTTTTTAAAGCAAAAATTATCTTACCATCTGTTTGGGATTTGCTCAAGAAAATTGTGCTTGCTCTAGGATGGTCAGATGGGTTTGACTCCAACGCTAAATCTGAAACAAATATGAAGCGAGGCAGCTATTCAGAAATTACTGTTTTTGGAAGAATAAACCAGTTAAAACCCAAATCTTGCTTAAGAGGCATTACATATTAAATCTGTTTCCAGATGACCTCAAGGTTGCAATTCTTAATAAACAGTTCTAGTATTTATACATTGATCTCACATGCTCAGAGAATTTGAACTGTATCTCAGAATCATAGCAATAGATCTAAACAGCAGAGATATTAAAACAGCACGGATAAGCTAAAAGAATAAACTCTACTATCCAAAGGAACTCCCAACAGCTTAACATTTTTTATTTTCCATTCTGAGAGGAAAACAGTCAAGTGTTAAGTGCACTATCCCTTTTACTTAAATCAATGGCGTTTCCAAAAATTATAAAAAGCTGTTAAAAGCTATCAAAGCTACAGTAATAGGAAAATACTTAATGAACAAGCACAAAATGAATATGCTATCACACTTATTATTTGTCACGGCCATGATCCCACTTTTAGTGGCTTCCTAAATCAATTATGGTTGGGCAAGACAGAGGAAGAGCCGTCACTAAAAGGAGGTTTCATTTTAGTTAATAGGCCTACAGCTCCTGTAGCAGCAATATTGGTATCATGGTAGGTGAGGCAAGGGAAAGCAGAACTGGTTGTGTTGATTCACAGTAACTCAAGAGATTTCAACCAACACTCAGGAAGAGCTGTGCCATCCAAAATCCAAGCCACACCTTATGAGATCATTCCTCAATTACTACAAGGCAAATATTAGTAGAGCAAGAATCCAAAATGATTTCCGTTATTGTAACCTTCCTCTATCACTGTATTGGTGGAAAGGTGTGTTGGTGCTGCTGGGAAATAAGCTCTTATATATTTATTTCATCTCAGTCATGTACATAGTTACCATATTTTTTGGACTATAAGACATACTTTTCCACCCCCAAAAAATGTTATAGAATGAATACGGGCCTGTTTTTGGCCTCCTGAATCTTCTGTGTGCCCCGTTTTCACCCTCCCTAGGCCCCAGAAGCACCCTGCAGGTAAAAAACGGGCCCATTTTTGGCGAAAGTGGGATGTACAAAGGGTTCAGGAGGCCAAAAGCAGAAAGTGCTTCTGGGGCCGGGAGGTCAAAAACGGGCTTCTGGGGGAAGGCGAAAACGAGACACGCAGACACAAAAAACTATTTTTTTGTCTTTTTTTCCTCCTCTAAATCTAGGTGCATCTTATAGGCCGGTGTGTCTTATAGTCCAAAAAATACGGTACCTCTCCATCACTATGCACTAGTTGGGTGAGACTAAATTGTTTGCTGTTAGATTTGCCATTTTGCCATGTGACCAAATGTGGGCTCATGCAGAAGGGACGCCACATGCTATTTCTGATTCACAGGGCGCAATTGCTGCTGCTAAGATGCCCGTGGTATAGATGTGGGCAACCATTATCGGTTCCAATGTAATCTCTGAACACTAGGATTTGCCAGGGGTACTTTTATTGGTAAGTGCCATAATAATGTTGGGTATTTCTGTCACAGTATTCTGTCAGGGGGAGTTTAAGGACAAGTACTACTGACCCAGACATCAGATTTCTCTGAATGTCTCTATTCAGTGGAGCCACCTACACTACCTGCTATTAAAGCAGCTGTTTGAAGTGCAAGCAATCACGCACGACATGGCAAAGTACATGGACATATTTCCTTGATCTCTGGAAAGAGAGATTCGTCGCCAAGCTATTCTGTTTTGCAATATATCTCTTGACGGCAGAGTGCGCCACTTAAGAGCTATGGTTTCCCCCTCCCCTCCAATTGAAAATCCCTGAACAAACCCTTGAGGATTTAAGAATGTGTGTTCTTATGTATGTTCACTGCCTTGACTTATTCATAAAAAATATTAAGATGGAATAAAAATTAATAAAACAAAGGAATAATAAACTTTGACAGTCTGACTTCATACTCTACCGAAAACTATGGGTACAAACAAGCATACCATATTAATAGGCTTAAGCGAGCCAATGGTGAGGGGAAGCTAATTGACAATGACTGACTCCCTACAATCTCCCCTGCTTTTACAGAGATTTCCTGTCTATAAGAAATGGTCCAAGCTGAAGGAAAGAGATTAGGCTCCCTCCAGAAAGAGGGGAAATGCTTCATGCCCGATAGCAACAGAAGTCAAGACTTATTCTGGCATGAAAAGTCCCTCAGCAGATACAAGCATGTGAATCTCCTACCTAATTAGGGTAACATGCCTGGTGCATTTCCAGAGAGAAGAGTGATGCCATCAGATGACTTACTGCAGTGGTTCCCAAACTTGGCAACTTTAAGACTTGTGGACTTCAACTCCCAGAATTCTCCAGCCAGCTCTGCTGGCTGGAGAATTCTGGGAGTTGGAAGTCCACAAGTCTTAAAGTTGCCAAGTTTGCCAAGTTTAAAGTTGCCAAGTTTGGGACAGTTAGCAGTCAGCTGAAGTGGCTGCAGTACAGCATTCTAACCACTGTGCCACCTCGGCTCTTATGAGATGTCAGTGGGCACAACTGGCTCATATGTACGATGGTTGAAGTGTCCCACAGTCACCTTTTGCAACCATCTGACAAGCAAAGTCAATGGGGAAGCCAGATTCACTTCACAATCAGGTTACCAACTTATCAGTTGGCAGTTGAGTTCCCTAGGTTGATGGTCCTGGGGGACTTCAATTTGCCGTCGCTCGGTGAAAACTCTGATGGGGCGCAGGAGTTCAC